TGGGTTGTCTCAAAAGGTACACAATATATGCACACACTGAAAATGCGTACACATGGACAAAATACATATCCATGAAAACTGTATGGGCTGGGGGTACAGCTCGGGGGTAGAGCACTTGCTGAGAGCGTGTGAGGCCCTAGGTTCAATCCTCGGCACCGCCAAAACAGGGAAAAAAAGCACGCGCTGTTTTTACGAATGTAGTGCATACTCACAAGCAATCTGCACACGGTGGAAGGGACTATCAGGAGTACCTAGGGAGACGGCGTTTGGTACCTTGCCCTCCGTTCTCCTCCCAGGGTGAATGGGTTGGGGGTGCACGTGGGGACAGACTGTGCCTGTTACTAATTAACCCAGGTTATTAAGGCTATACTTTCAGAGCATTTCTATAGTTTGTTACTAATTAATCCAGAAGTTACAATTGGACAGACTGTCAGACCCTTCTTAGGACAAGGTGCTCAATAGTCCACTGGAGCAGGAACACAAGATCCCATCTCTCATCCCTCCCACTGCAGCCCTCATACGTGGAAGTAGGGAGGAGGCACCTGAGTCCTCGAAAGCCTAAAAAAAAAGGTTTTCTTTCTCCCAGACTTCCGTTTCCTCTTGGACACAGGAATGCTCATTCGTGTAGTAAAACGTTCCACCCAGCATCATATTCACGTCCAAGTATTTTCCCTAAAACCAATCAATGGGTCTTCCATTTTCTCAGCACAATTAGTGCTGAGAGAGCTCTAGTGTTAGTCTAGTCCTTCGGTTGATACTTTCCCTCATTGTGCCTGTTTAATATCCCATTGTTTGAGTGGGCTGAATATCCAGAGGCTGTTTCAGGCTGAGAATGTTGGGCTCTGGGACTCGAGATCGCCTCATTCTGCTTACCTTTCTTATTAATGCCCATGATGGGTTGATTCCACGCACTTTTGCTGTTTTATTTTTTTTTTTGAGTTAGAAATTCAACCCAGAACCTTGCACATGCTAGTCTGTATTACTTCTTTTCTTTTGCTTTCTTTCTTTCTTCTTTTCTTTTTCAATACTAGGGATCAAGCCCATGACTTTCATATTGATCTACATTCCCAGCTCTTTTTTTAGTTTTTATTTTTGGGAAAGTTTCACTAAGTTGCCCAGTTTGGGCTCAAATTTTCAATCCTCCTGCCTCAGCCTCCTAGAGTGCTGAAGTTACAGGTGTGTACAGCCATGCCTGGTACTGATTTATTTCCTTAGTTACTTTCAGCACCATCTCCTATTCAGACCGTCTGGCCGAGTGCTCAGACAAAATATTTCCCTCCCTTTTGTGGCATCTAATAGTTGGGGAGAGTTCAGGTTTGTGGCCACCCTACCATTTAGTTTTGTCATTGTTTAGTTCTATCAATAAAATACCTAAAACTTGGGTTGTCTCAAAAGGTACACAATATATGCACACACTGAAAATGCGTACACATGGACAAAATACATATCCATGAAAACTGTATGGGCTGGGGGTACAGCTCGGTGGTACAGCACTTGCTGAGAGCGTGTGAGGCCCTAGGTTCAATCCTCGGCACCGCCAAAACAGGAAAAGAAGCACGCGTTTTTATGAATGCAGTGCATACTCACAAGCAATTTGCTTCTTTTCCTCCTCTGCCAGAGACAACTATTTAATATGTTTAATATATGTCCTTTTAAAAATGCTTTCTTAAACTGAGCCTGGTGCTAAGAGTTGGTAACCCCAGCACTTTGGGAACCTGAGGCAAGAGAGTCACAAGCCTTGGCAACTTAGTGACTTAGCTAGACTCCTCTCTCAAAATCAATAAATAAATGGACTCGGTGTTATAAAGAGTCCACTTATCAAAACAAGCTTGGAAAGAAGTTTATTCCAGTGAACAGGGACTAAAATCAGGAGATTCTAGCAGCTAGCTGGGAAAAGCTGAGTGTATCACATCCATGTGTGGATGGGCTGACATTGGGAGAGAGGAATAGCAGCAGCTAACTGGGAGAGACTTCATCCATGAGTGGATGGGCTAACACCTGGAGAGAGCTATCAGCAACCAACTAGGAAAGGAATTAGGCTTACACAGGTATTGAAGGGGCTAAGGAATCTGGGGTGAAATGTTTCTGACTTGGATGCCCCAGGATGGGTCTGCTCAGGTGTGTAGCCAGTCCCTGGACTTCTCAATGCCAGAGGAATTGTAAACTTGGTTTTGAGTCCGTTTGCCCTATTTACTAAGAAGCTGCTGTTGTTTGCTAAAAGAAGCCTTTGCTTTGTCTTATTTGTTTAGCCTGACACTTGGGAATGTAGCTTAGCACAAAGGCCCTGGGTTCAATTCCCAGGTTCACAATCAGTAATTAATTGAATAAAATAAAAATGGATTCATGTAAAATAGAATGGATCCTGAACTTATGACCAGCCTGACATACGAATAACTTGGGTTATGACTGGAATTTCAGTTTTAACTTATGACCAAAGTCTTGAGTTTTGAGCCGAATGCTGGCCACTTGTGCTTCCTGATGGTCTCAGGTACAGATTTAACCTTTAAAGAGTCCTGGAAGGAACAGTACAACACGTGGGGTTAACTGAGAAGTCCTGGGCCAACGTCTCTCTCTGAGGACACTGAGATCTGCCTGGAAGAAGTGTGGCCTAAAATTATACAGGAGAGAGACTCTAAAGGCAATTGATAACCCTGAGTTACAACCAGCCTTTGGGAACAAATTGAGTTTGTAAGTCAAGGGTCCACTGTATAGCCAGCTGTTTTGGTATATACATTTTGAATTTTCACAATAGCATGGTCCTTCCCCCCTAGGAAACTTTCTTATCTATTCTCAGGAGAGGACTACTGGGTCATGGGGTGTGTACTTCAGATTTGAGTCATTTGCTTATTAGATGGCTTCTTGGTCCCTACTCCCTCTATCAGTGCCCAAGTAGACAGTCCTCGGCATCTAATCCTAACTGAAAGTGTGTTATTATTTTATTCAAGAACGGATATCCTTAGCTTATGCAAACTAATAAATTTTTGCTGTTATTGAATGACTTGAGCTTGCATGATAGCTCTACTCTCCTTAGATAGTTCTACTCTCGTCTATTAACTTTAGATTTTCCTCCAACATTCAGGAGCCTTTTTCCAATGAGTGCTGTCAGACATGTATCTGTGCTTACTTTTCTCTGTGCAGTGAGCTGGTCTTTTCTACTCTACTACATAATCCCGCCTTTTCCTACTAGTGGCAGAGCCGCCTTTATCATGTATCAAGCTCCCCTGTGTACAAAAGAAGGCTCTAATTTCCACTCTGATCCTCCCCTAGTGGTCTTGTGTCAAAACCACGACGTCTGTACCAGCACCGTATGTGCCACTCTCTTCACCCTACAAGGTTGACTTGACTACTTGCAACTGTTTATTTCTCTGCGTAACTTAGACTAAATTAACCAAGGTGCTCAAAAAATCCATTTTGATTGGGATTGCAGTGAATCGTAATCACAGGAAGAGAATCGACAACTTAGCGACATTTTGAGATCCTATCTCAAAATAAAAAGAGCTGGGCTATTGTTCATTGTGAAGAAGGCTTTAGGTTCAATCTCTAGGACCACAAAATAAAAGAAAAACCTAGCTTTTGGATTTGTTCATCTTTACTTCATTGATTTCTACCTCCATCTTTATTTCCTCTTTTGTTCTTCAAAGAACCCAGGGATTCCCAGGGGAGACACAGTCGCCCAGGGGCAGAGGCAGAGGCAGGCAGAGAGCAGTTCCCGGCTTCCAGCTACAGGTTCTCTTTCACATCGTCCAAGGACATCCAGTAAATAGCAACTAGCCAGCCCCGTGTGACTACAGAGCACTCGAAATGTGACTAGTGGAGACTGGGATAGGCCCTAAGGGTCCAATTTACACCCAATTTCAAAGATTTGGAATAAAAAAATGTAAAACTTCTCACACATTAAACATTTTGGATATATTGGCTTCAATGAATGATGTCAAGATTAATCTCACCTTTTGGTTTTTTTGGAGACAAGGTCTCACTATGTAGTTAAGGCTGGCCTTGAACTCACTGTATATCTAGGCTGGCCTCGTATTTGTGGTGATTCTCCTGCCTCAGCCTTCCAAGTGCTGGGATTCCAAGCATGTGCCGACATATCCAGCTACCATTTCTTCTTTTCAAAAAATATTTGTTTTTTGTTTTGTTTTCAGTACCAGAGATCGAACACAGGATCTCGTGCTTGAGAGTCAGGTGTGGCACAACTGAGCTAAATCCCCAGCCCTCAGCTACAATTTCTTTAAATATGGATACTAGAAATTTTTAGTTTAGTAGCAATAGAAAGAACAGAGTAGGTTACATTTTGAGGCCATGTTGAGACTGAGGCCTGGTCAACACAGCTCAACCTACTTTATTTTGTAAAGTACCAAAACAACCAAACAGATTCAAATTAAGAAATTCATCCAAGGAGTTGAAGATCAGGTCCTTCCCTTCCAAACAACAGAAACCAACTCTGCCAATTTGTGCAGCACTTAACACCCAGGGCTACACCTGCTTCCCTGGGCTCTTACCCCTCCTCCCAGCTCTGGCTCTCAGGAGTGCACATCACCGAAACTGAGCCCGTCCTTGTCATGCGGTCAGGTAGAAGCCCAGGACTGGCTAACTCCAGCCCCAAGGGTGCAAGGGGCAGGGTAGGGTAGGGGTGGGCGGGCCAGTGGCAGGGATCCTTCCAAGGATCTCACTGCCTCAGCCTGTCACTGGCTCAGTCCGCCTCACTCCTAGATCAGGCCCCTCCTGACATATGTGATGATGAGTTTTAATAGATTCAGTCACTCCCTCTTCAAGGGTCCCTGCCTCTCCAGGCCCTGCCTTCTCCTGAGTTGAGGCTGTTTTGATCCTAAGACCTTGGTGACCTGGCTTCAGGCATGGAGGGGAAGTCAGACTAGGCAGCAATGTCCGGTGATGCTCTCCGCTTTGTTTGCAGGGGTCTTCAGGACTCATCTGCTCAGGGCTCAGCTCCTAGGAGGCCAGAGAAGCAACTGGGACCAAGGGGTCCTAAGGAACAAGACATGGACCAGAACAAAGAGGCCATCGGAGCCCCAGCTGGCACCCCAGTGCCCCAGGAGCTGCTGGAGGAAATGATTTGGTTTTTCCGTGTAGAAGATGGTATGTGGCAAGGGACAGGTGGCAGAGGTGCGGTGGCATGGGGCGGGGGAGAGCTTGACACAAAGAACAGGATTAGGCTGAAGCCCTGGTATCGCCTCCTGCACCCCCATCAAATGGCCCATTTCCTGCCAGTCAGGCCTGGGCTGCACTGCACCCTCCTGTTGTGGGCCGTGGCCACTCACAGGGTCACCCAGTCACCTGGCTGTGCTTAGTAAGCTTCTGCTGTGTGCTGTTCTGGCACTAAGGTTATAGCAGTGAATAAAACACAAGCATCTCCTCATCACGGGGCTCCTGTCTGGCGAGACAGAAAATAAACAAGGTAAACAGCAAACACCCACAGTGCATACATGATATGCAGGAAGAAGAAAACTACACGCAGCAGAGGCCAGAAGGGTGCAGCAGGTGAGGTCGAGGGAAGGCTCAGTTAGAAGAGGACTTTAGTAAAGACTCAGCAGAAGGGAAGGGCTCAGCCCTGTAGATCTGGAGAACTTTCCCGGCTGAGGAAGAGCAACTGCAGAGCCCCGCCTCGAGGGGCTGAGGCCCCACCTTCAGATGGGCCACTTTCTCTTTTAAACTCAGTTGAATCCAGTCTGTCACTCCTTCCCATCCCCCTCCCTCCTTCCTCTTCCTTGTGCTACACAGGAAGATAAAACTGAAGATTGCAAAATTAACCCTAGCCTACCTGCTGACCCCTTGACCACTTTCACAGCTATTATCCAGCTACAGTGCTGCCTCCCCTAAAGCAGACTGTGTCTCCCCCAAGAAGTCCCCAGGGCCAGAGGGGTGTTGTCCTGTCCTCAAAGCCCTGTCCTATGTGTCCCTCCTCAGCCTCTGCTTGGAACTACTCCATCCTTGCCTTGACGGTCGTGGTGGTGGTCTTGAGCATGTTCCTCCTGGTCAGGAGCATCCAGGCAAACAGGTGAGGAACTGGGCTGGGGGGGTCTCGGGAGGGCAACCGCCCTGCCTTCCCAGAGGGAAATCTTGGGAGGGCACCAGCCTTCTGCAGAGCAAATGGAGGCTTCTGGCTCCTTTGAGAACCCAAAGCTGTTCTCAAAACTGCAACTGCCCCTGATTGCTACCTCCTGGCTCTGGCAGGCAAGCAGGAGCGTAGCCTCCTGTACGGCCTGGAGGGGTGCAGCCACTAAGAAGGTGGCTTTGAAGCTGGCAGGGTGGCACAGGCCTGTAATCCCAACACTCAGAGGCTGAGGCAGAAGGACTCCAAATTTGAGCCAAACCTAAGCAATTTAGTGAGACCTGTCTCAAAACTAAAAATAAAAATGGTTGGGGACATAGCTCAGTGAGAAGGCCCTGGGTTCCACCTCCAGTACTAGAGGGAAAAAAAGCAGAAGGCAGCTTTGCCCCTCACTTGTCAGGAGGCCCCCCTCAAAGTGAACTAAGAGGCAAGGCAGTGTCCTCAAGAACAGGGGACACTGGCCACACCCTTGTGGCCCATGGAGAGGTCTCTCAGCGCAGCTGGGTCCCTCCCTTGTGGCCGGGAAGGCTGGGCACCTTGAATAAAATCAACTCAAGGGCCGGGATTCAGCTCAGTGGCACCACGACTGCCTCGCAAGCACAAGATCCTGAGTTCAATCCCTCCTACCAGAAAAATCAACAAATAAACAAATAAATAAAAGCAACTTGGAGAGAAGACAGATGGGTGGGAGTTACTCAAAGGAAGGACAGGTTGAGGAAAGGGGTGGTGGGAGCCAGGGAAGGTACATGGGGGAGGGGGGTTCTCTCACATGGCTGTTGCGTTGGGAGGCTGGTCTGGCACTGTGAGTAGACGATCTAGTTTTTTCCTGCAGCAGATGGGTGGTGGTGGGAGGACAAGGACTTGTACTTGGTAGGGTGACAACCCTGGGGCCAGGGACAGTTTGGTTGATGCAAAGAATATAGGACTTACAGTGGGGAGACTTAATGTACAACCCACTTATGTGCTTCTGTGGCTTTTTTATTCCCTTTTTTGTAATACTGAGGATTTAAGCTACAGCCTTTGCTGAGAGCTATATCCCAAGCCCTTATTTTAAAGCACGTTCTTGCGAAGTTGCCCAGGCTGGGCTTGAACTTGTGATCCTCCTGCCTCAGCCTCCCAGAGATTACAGGCCTGCAGCACCAGGCCTGGCTTCTTTAGCCTCTTTAAACATTTCCTCATCTGTAAGGGAAGGGATGTGACAATAAATACTTAGATTTGGTAACTAAACATCCCCACTCCTCACCCCAGGAGCTCTGACAGTGCAGGACCCTTTCACACCCTAACCCACGGGTAGACCCAGGCCTCCCCAGCCCCATGGTACCTCTGATCAGTGTTTCCTGTCCTCCCAGAAATCGAAAGCTGCAGCCACAAAAAAAGGACACACCTGAAGTCCTGCGTCTGAATGACAGCAGAACCAGAGATGGCAGCCTGAACAACCTAGGAGAGACGCTGCTCACGAAAATGCCAGCCCTGGCACCCCCGGAGACTGAATTAAAACAGCAGTGCGGCTCAGTAGTTCTTCCCATCCCATCAGAAACTGAGAGCTAGAGCAGGCACCACCTAAGCAGGGCGCAGCTTGCAGTGGGGCTCTGCTGTCTCCTGCAGCCTCACAGAGTTTGCAGTCTCCTCCAGGAAGCCTGTATTTATGAGCAGATTCAATGACTGAACTGCAATCAAGAACTTCCACTATTTAAAAAAATCTTTTATTAAAATGCTCTTGGAAGTGGGTAGTTAGAATTGCATAGTTTGTTCAAATGGTGGTCACACACACACGCACGCACGCAGTGGCTTGAAGCAAAGTGCAAAATCCCTAGCAGCCCAGGGGTCAGGAAGCCTGGTGGGGACCCTCAGTGAGTAGTCTGGGTGCTTCAGGGCCTCGCTCTGGCCTCTGCTTCTCCCTCAACAGAATGGGAGTGAAGGCCGGGTCAGAGGTGTTTGAGTCCAAGCTCCAGCAGGGGTTTGCTGAGATGGGAGGAGGCAGGATTCTGAAGTCAGAATCCCCTTCTCCGCCCTCTGGGAGCCAGAGCCCCTGCTGTGCCTGCTTATGTGCTGGGGGTTGGTTAATGGTAAACAGAGTTGGAAGACAATTGCACCCACTGCAGCACTTCTGAGGCCTTCTCCAGGGAGTATCCTGAGCCCTGAGCCCCGAGCCCCGATGTTGTAGCATAAGCTATTAAGTGGCAACACCATAGAATTTATGCAAAAATTTGCTCTATTAACCCAAAATATTTCAGGTTCTGTCTCACAAAAGTGGGCTTTGACCTGGGCATGGTGAAGCACACCTGTAATTTTAGCACTGTGGGAGGATGAGGCAGGAGAATCTCAAATTTGAGCCCAGCCTGGACAACTTAGTGAATTAGCAAGGCTCAGTCTCAAAATAAAAGAGCTGGGCTGGGGATTTAGCTCAGTGGTTCCACTGCCTGCCTATCTTACAAGTGCAAGGTCTGGAGTTCGATCACTAGTACCAAGAAAAAAAAAAAAAAA